ATTTAGCACAAACTGTATCATCTTCTTTCCCAGATCCTTTTATGCTTGAAAGATTGCCTAAGATCTCTCCTGACTATACAGTTGTCATGGCGGGGTCCTTCAGGAGGGCCGTGATCTCCTTACAGCCCCCTTACCGTGCCAAGTCGGCCCAAGGGCACCCTCAAATTCTCTCCCGCCATGTCTTTGATGGTTAGATAAAGTTGGGAGGCTGCCTTACGACTCCCTGGGCACGGTTAGCTGGGACCTCTGTCCCCGTGTGTTCCCAGACCCCCTGGTGGTCTCCCGGTATGATGGGTGCTCCCCAGGCACTCTAGCCTTATGGGCTATGCGTGGCTCCTACCAACCCCTAATACCACGCCCCAAGTCTCGCTGATGGGATAGACGCTGGTATGTCTCTCTAGATGTACACGGCCCGTCTCTCGGGCCTCCTCTGTGTACTCTCGCCCCGCTCTCTGGGGCCTCCTCTTCTGTGCTGCCCTCTCTTGGGCTCTCCGAGCCCACTCGGGGCCTCCCTGTAATGTTGCCCCTCTCTGGGGCCTTCTCTGTAGTGTTGCCCCCTGTCTGGGGCCTTTGCAATAGTGCCCCCTCCTGGGGCTTTCCCTGTAATGTCGCCTGAACTCGGGCTTCTAAAATACAGTCCCCCATCTGGGGCTCTCTGCGCCCACTCTGGGGACTTCTTGGCAACGCCCCCCGACTCTCGGGCCCACCGCACTGCTACCCCCTTCTCCCAAGGCTCACCGCGCCACTACCCCCTCTCACCGGGGGCAACCGCAGCACTCCACCCTGCTCCGGGTTTTTCCACAGCACTAGCCCTGTTTCAGAGGCTCACCACACCCGCATTGGGCTTCCTAATAATATGGCCCCCTCTCTGGGGCTTGCTGTGCCCCTACTGGGCTTCCTAATAATATGGTCCCCTCTCTGGGGCTCGTCGTGCCCACGCTAGGGCTTCTCAAAGCTGCCCCTCTCTGTGGCTGGGGGCTACGTACCCCACAAGTTGCGCCCTCACTGGCACCAGGGTTCCCATACCACTGGGGTTCCCCCCCTTTATGAGGATACTGTGCCCTGACTGGCGCTAGGGCCCCCACATCCCCATGGGGCCCTTTATGAGGCCTCCTCCAACCCCTATAGCCTCACCCAAACCACCGGTGCAATATCAGAAGCAAACAAACTTGAGCCTCCTGGCTATAACTCAACTCAAAGCCATCTGGCTAAACCATGGTGCTCAAACCTCTCCGAGCTGCCATCCTTCACTCAGCTAGAGCAGTTCTTACAATGCTCGCATTCTAGCCCCAGGAGCTCCTGCCTCCCTGGCCACTGGCAGAGAACTGCCAGCCTGGCCTCAGCCCTGGGCTTTATGAGGGTCAGGCCCTGCCCCCTTCTGGCCAGCTGACTCACATTAGTTGCCCCGGCAACCCGCAGCTGTACTTGTTATGTTCTGCCAGGGCTCTCTCTCCCTGGCAGTTTCCACTCTCTAGGAGCAGAGCAACAAGGTGCCCTGCGAGAACAGTCAGTCCAATAAAAGATATCATCCCCCAAAATTCTCTGTTTTTCTTAGTGGCTATTAACTCATTCCCAAGGTGATGAATGAGGTTCAGGTTTTGATGGCAGGAACTCTTTTATATGATTTTTCAAAGGACCTCACCTCAAATTTATATTTTTTTTCAAGACTTTTACATCAACAAATATGTACATGTATAAGGTTTTGCCCCATGCTGCATTTATATCTCTAGCTGAAGGAAAGCTTAATAGCCTGAAACTTGAAAGACTGTTATGACATAATTTTGAGTTGTGAAGATTATTTTTAGCCTTTTAAGTACAGAAGATAAACCATTTCATTCCAAACGGTCCTGAGATGAGTTTCTAATTGTATCATCATAATCATCATTGGCAATCATCAGTCTCAGGGGACCATGGAAATTATACCTTTGCTGGGTTCCTGGGTACCACCATAGCTTCTTGAGTGGCTCGGGAACCCAATGAGCAACAAGCAGGCCCTTCAGCAAGTTGCACATACAAACTTGGTTGAGCTTGCACCAGCATGCTGAGTACCATCTTGTCTTGTCTGCCTCTGATGCCTGATCCGATAGTATCAGGATCTAGTGAATTGAACAAATTGGCTCCCATCTCCCAAATTAACTATCATTTTACTATTACTCAGATGATATTGAGTGCTTATGGCTCCCATAGTTGACAGCTATTAAGAGTTTCATTCATCTATATACAACTTATATTCATTAGCATTGGTTCCTAGATTAAGTGCCCAGTTTGGTAGCATTATCCTACCAAGTTTACTTAGGTAACTTTCTTAATTTCCACATCATTACCAGGTTTATTACTAGCCACTTACTAAGGACAAGGGATCCATAAGGAGAACTACTAAAAGAAAAAAAAATGGTTATCTGCTTCAGAGCAACTGTAGTTCTTGGAGGAGTTCTGTTTCAGTGATCCTACATTTGAGCTAGACAAGAAATTATTTTCCCATCTCATACAATTTTTCAAGATTTAAAAAATGTGTCCCATCCTCAATTGGGATGAAAAGTTAGTCTTGGAAGTTTTCATAAACCATAACTTCAAATATATTTTCAGACTAGGTCATATTAAAAAGTTGTGTGTAAATAATTTTGAATCTTGATTCTGATTTTGATCTTGTTATTTTTTGCCTAAGTGGGTGCATCTACATGTTGCCTTATGGTGACATTGCTACAGTGCTGTACTTTGCCTTTTGGAAGTACTAAAGCATGGCACAGTACAGGTGGTTACTGTACTGTGCACATAACATATGGTTAAATTTGGCCGTTATGGTGACGTAGCATACCGTACAGCAATGTAATGTGTCACTTCATCACCATAGGGCGACATGTAGACATGCCCAATGTTTACTTGAATTTCTAATGAAAAAGTAATTTTAAACTAAAAAATTAAATTTTCAGTTTTAAAAATGTCACAATGGTATGTTTTAGAGATTTAAAAAGTTGTTTGAAATGAAAAATACTTTTAGACAAATCCCCACCAAAAGTTTTAATTTAATCAAATCAGAGCTCTCTGGCAAAATATTTCATACAAAAATTTCGTTAGCTATGGCTATAGCCTGCATCATCCTGAATTGTATGAGGTCCTTTAATTTAAGATTTCTTCTATGGAGTAAAGGAAGTGAGTGGTATTTTGGATTACTCTATCCTTTATGCCCAGTCCTAAAAGACATTGTTAATTAACAGACTATGATTATGCATTCACAGGCATAGACATCAATAGTGGAATCTACATTGACAGTACCTCTTGAAGAATACAGTTACCTTGAAGTAAGGGACTCCTCATTTTGCTGTTACACCGCAAAAGGAATTGTTCCAAGTTTATTATTTTAATGGGAGAAGTGAATCAAAATCCTTTCCCACTGGATATAAAAAGGCACTTCGGTTATGAATACCACTTATGCATAGAGCATCTATAATATTTAAATATCCCATTATATTATTATGTCAATGTAAAAATTTGTGGACTTAGCATAAAAACTATTATTATTATTTTATCAAGCATATAAAAAAGTGTATCTTTAATCGAAATTCCTATTAAATTTTGGAACTCCAGTGTGGAAGCACAGTCCACTGAACTCAATAATGTAATAAAAGTGCTTCTGGCCTCATATAATGGCCTACAGAAGTCTGCTATGGCATGAATAGATTACTTTTTTAATATTTACAAATACAATTTTAGTCTCTGGATTCAAAAGGAAAGGTCTTCAGTATTTTGATTGTTTTATGCTATATTTTATGCCTATCATTCAACTTCCTAATAATTTTCTAAAGCAAGCACAAAAGGATTTTCAATACCAGCCATCTGGATAATTTAATTCTTTTAATAGAATGCTGGAAAAGAGATCTTAATTGTAAAACTGAAATAACTTTTATGTTGCTGAAGTGAACTCTGCATCATAGTAACAACTAAATCACCACTAAAGAAGTAAAACTGAAGTTCCTAAAACCCAATCTTTTTTAAATAAGATTTTTAAAACTTCATACAGATGCCTAGCCAAAATATCAGGAGTTAGCTATTTCAATCAGAAATTCAACTGCAATAATACAACGTAGAAGCAATTTTGCAACTGATATTACAAATCTAATTCTGACTGCATTACATTTAATCCAAAGCTGCCAGAACTATAAGGGGATGGAAGTTTACTAAAGCAGATGATAAATAACAACCTAGAACAGGGCTTGGCAACATAGAGCGCACAGAGCCACTGGATTTGGCCCACAGAGCTGGATGGCTTTGCCTGTGTCCACAACCACAACAGGGCAAAGCAGTGAGAAGCTGTGCTGGGACCAGGCTCCCCACTAGCTGGAAACTGCTCATACCACAACTGATGAATTTGAAACCAAGAAAGACAATGAGTGGATCTGGATTTCTGGCTATAACAAATTAGGAAGTGCTGCCCAGTTCCTGAATCAGAATTAATGTAATTAAACAACTAACAGGAAAGAGGCTAAAAGTTAAATTATACATATTCTTCTTCATGGAAGTTGGTTTTAAAGCTATTAAGAAAGACCTGGATAGCCTAAACCAGGAATGATCAACATTTACGAGGCCAGGGGCTACATACCCCATGGACCGTATCAGTGGGAACCAGGGAAACCACAGCATGGTGAGTCATGGGTCCCGGGGCCCACTTACTACATGGATGCCCCTGTACCCTGATCCCCCATGCAGGCATTCCCCCACCGCCACTGCACCATGCACCTGCATGGGCATCACTCTTCCACCACTGTGCCACATGGCTCTGGCCTTAGGCTCCACTCCATGTACTGCAGCGCCCTATGCCCCAGGAAACCAACAGGCTGTGGAAATCCAGAGGTCTACTCCTAAGTGTCACTGTCATTCTATTTGATGAAGCTAATTAGAAAAATGGATACCAAAAAAGAAGAAAAGCAGTTGCAGAAAGAAGTACAGTTCCTTAATTTCACATAAGTATATGCTAGTATTGAAACATGAAAGTCAACACATACCTCTGGCCTTACTGGATCTTCAATACCAACAACGCAAATGCAGGTCAGGTCAGTTAAAACGTCATTTTCATTGTCCCAGTCTGGTTCTGGGCTGCTGCTGAAGTCCCGGTAACCAATACAAATAGTCCTCAGTCCATCACAGGCCATAGGTTCAATCACTTTCTTTATCATCTCATCTCGGTCACGAGGTCTGAAGATACGAGGTTCACCTGCTGCATTAAGGATTCTAGAACACCTTTAAAGGAAGGGCATTCGTTATACGTGTGAGGTTCCATTATTTAGTTTGTTTTCAAGGTATTCATCCAAAAATTAACTTTTTTGTTGGTTTTTTTTTAAATATTTAATTTGCAATGCATTCCACGAGCAAAACAAATGGATTCACTATTCTAGGATATAACTGTTTTATACTAAAATGTCTTTCAAATTCCTGCCAGATTAGTAACTAATACTTGAGTTCCCGATTAGTAACTAATAGTTTAGGTTCCAACTGAAAACCAAACAACAATGGTTTGAACCTTTTCTTATTGAAATCAATGAAAATATATTTTAGTGGTGTCAGATTACTTACTCCAAGTTGTTAAAACATAAATAAATATAGCAAGAGACACAGCGGACTTACTTCTTCAGAACTATTTCAGAAGCACCTTTGCTATACATTCGGAAACTCCCATCTGGCATTTTAATGACAGTGCTCATTGACTTTCTCACTGAGTTAAAAGTGTACACTTTGTAGAGTTTCTCCTCAGGAATAAGATTCCGAATAGGCTGGTAATCCTGCTTCAAATTCAGAACAAACCCCAAGAGGCCGCACTCCGTCTTGTTGCCTACCTGACGAGGCAGGCCACCTTCCCTTTCTGGTGGCTGAAAGAAGAAAATATCAGATTTGAATCCTTCATTTAAAAAAAAAATTGTAGTACACAGTATTCTTCTAGCTCGCTAAATAACAAGGTACCAAGCAACTACATTATTTTCTATGTAAAGTCAGGGCTCATGCGATTTTAAAAGAGAAGCAGAAGTTCCTCTGAACTATAACAAACTAAAACCCATCTATTTCATAATCTATTTGAAATTGCTTCTATTGAAGTAACCAAGCAGTTCTCTTCCACATTTCTTACCCTTTGGCAATTCAAGACTTTACGACGGACATGAAATATGTCATTAAAAATAAATCTATGTTCTTCTGGGTCAACAAAACTGGGAAGGATTTCTAACATTTTGAAGGATAGGACGAGAATTCTAAAGGATCTTGATAGACTGGAGAGCTGGGCTAGAGAAAACAGAATGAAATTCAGTAAAGATATATGTTAGGTGCTATCCCTAGGGAAGGATAAACAAATGCATAAATACAGAATGGGAGATAACTGACTTGCTAGTAGTGTTGCTGAGAAGGATCACAGAGTTTTGGTAAATAACAGACATACTGGGTGTGTCTACATGTGCAAATGCTGCTGGATGAGTTTACCCCACAGTAATTTACTGTGGAATAAACCCACCCTGGGCAGGCATGTATACAAGCTCCCCCTGGGTGTTGGCTCAGGGACTGACAGGGAGTATGGGGCCAGGGGACAGCTGTCTCCTGGCGAGGGCTGGAAGATTGCTCCCTGCCCCTGGGAGCTGCCTGCTGCCAGGCTAGGCTCCAGTGGGGAGCCGGGGCTAAGACAATGTCCCCTCGCTCTGGCAGCAGGGAGCTCCCAGCCCCCACTCTGTGATCATGCAGTCAGGCTGCAAACTCCTCGGGGCAGGGAACAATATCCCACCTCCTGTGCCTAGCTGACCAGGAGCAAATTGCTCCTGGTCAGCCATCTACATGTGCCTTACTGTGTAGTAATTACTCAGAAGTTAAGTTGATACCTGCATTTTCAGGCAGAAAATTAACTGCTGAGTAGAGCAAATAACTGAACAGTAAGAGTCTGCATTTGTAGATGGTGACACTTAGTGGGTGCGTTTACATGAAGTGCTACATCGCTATAGAGATGAGCTGTGGCCACATAGTTTGTCACTATGGGGATATAGCATAGGTGGGCATGAACTGTAGTGCCACTGATACTGCACAGTGCCAATGTGCCGTCACTGCTACTGCTCATTGCTACTGTGCAGAAGGGTCAAAGATGACCTGTGCGGCACCAGGACTGTGAAGTATTGGCAAGCGCTAAACGACTGTGCAGCAACAACTGCATAGTCGGGAACGTATGTAGACATGCCCAATGAGCAGTAATTTGCTCTAGTGCACAGTAAAGCATCTCGTGTAGAAACGCCCACTATGAGTCAGAAATGTGATGCAGTTGCAAAGAAAGTAAATGTAATTGGGGGCTCCATCCACAGAAGTATTAGATGTAAAGCAGTGCAGATCTGCACCTTTTAGGCTAACTAAAACATAAGCAGCAGCGTACTTCATTAGATGCTAGCAACTCTTATCCATCTTAGATTGAGTTAGTCTATAAGGTGTAACTGTAGGCTGCCTTTTGCCTTGCAGCACAGATAACCACCTCTCTCTATTAGGTGTTATACATGGGAGGTTATAGTATTATTCTTCTTGGCATGGCTAGTCGGGCTGCGGACACAGTCCTGGGCAACTTACTGGTGCCTCAACACTAGTCTGTTGCAGGATGCTCACTTCTATGATTGCTTTGCTCAATTCTGGCAGACATGGGAGGCCACAAGAGCCACCTTCCCATCCTGGAAGCGGTGGTGGGATGTGGGAAAGTTGCAGATTAGAGTTTTCTGTCAGCAGTACACATAGTTGGCAACAAGCAAGCTTCTCAGCTGTGTTCAGGAGCTGAAGGAGGATATGGTGCAGCTTCGGGTGGCCCTGCATGATGTGGAGCTGCTTGAGAATCTTAAGCTCTGCAAGCAACATCTGCAGGAGCTGGCAGAGAGTGCAGCCCAGGGTGCAAAGGTCTGTGTCTGCTGCCAAGACCTGGCAGAGACTGATGCTCCAACTCACTTCTTCTACAGTCTTGAGAAATGATGAGCTGGATGGAAGGACATTGACCATCTTAAGATCCCAAGTGGCCAAATGCTCAGAGATCCTGTTGAGATCTGAGGCCATGCCATCACCTTCTATCAGGAACTGTTTGCAGCTGTACTAATTTGCCTAGAGTCTGCTAGGCACTTACATGAAGGCCTCTGTAGGCTTTGCTCATGAGAGGCTGACTATCTTGAACAAGAACTGTCTTTGGAGGAACTCATAGCTGCCATCAGAAACCTCACCTCAGGCAAAGCCCCTGGTATCGATGGGTTGCCTGGCAAGTTTTACAAGACCTTCTGGCCTCTCCTTGGCCCCTTCCTTCTGTGTGTCTTTCATGAGAGTCTCGTGGACCAGACAATGCCAACCAGTTGTCACCAAGTGGTTCTCACCCTTCTGCCTAAGAAAGGAGAACTTGGCTGTATCAAGAATTGGCAAGCAGTGTCCCTCTTGTGCGTGGATTATGAGATCCTGGCCAATGCTCTGGCTAACCAGCTGTGCGCCATTATGACTTCCATCATCAGCCTTGAACAGAGCTACTGCATGCCGGGCAGTACCATCCAGGACAATCTGTTCCTGCTTTGAGACCTGCTGACAGCTGCAGACCACTTCAGCCTCAGCATGGGACTCGTCTCCTTGGACCAGGAGAAAGCCTTTGATTGAGTTGTCCATGACTACCTGTTTTGGACCCTTGAGGCCTTTGGCTTTGGGCCTGTCTTCACCTCTGCCCTCCGGGTCCTGTATCGAGACATTTCAAACCTCCTGAAGGTGAATAGCACACTCTGTGCCCCATTCCCAGTCTGCAGGGACATCTGCCAGGGCTGCCCTGTGTCAGGAATGCTGTACGCCTTGTCCATAGAGCCCCTACTCCACGCACTGTGGAAGCCCCTGACCAGACTGACTCTTCCATCTGTCTCTGTCTCAGTGGGCTGCCTGTTGGTCAGGCTGACATCATATGCAGATGATGTTACTCTTCTCATCAGCACCCATGATGACATCCAGTCCTTGGTCACCTGCCAAGAAGCCTATGAGTGTGCCTCTTCAGCTCGCATGAACTGGACCAAGAGTGACACCCTCCTTCTTGGTCCCTGGGTCAACCCCCTCCCCCCCGACTTGCCTGGGGGTCTTACCTGGTGTCGGGAGGGCTCCAAGGCCCTAGGGGTGTTCCTCTGGTCTTCTTGGCACAGAACTGAGAGGATCTTGGTGCCAAGGTGGAGGCATGTCTGCTGCGATGGCACTGGCATCTGCCCAGCCTCCCCTACCATGGATGGGTCCTTATAATCAACAACCTGGCAGCTGCAGCATTGTGGCACTGTTGCGCTGTGTTGGACGCCCTGCCAGACCTGCTTGAGAAGCTCCAGCGACTGGATTTCTGTTGGAATGGGCGTCACTGGCTCTCCCAAGCCATTCTTTATTTGCTGGTGGCCAAGGGGGGCCAGGGCTTAGTTGACCTGGTGGGCAGGGTGGCAGCCTTCTACTTACAGGCCCTCCAAAGTCTCCTCTACTGCGAGGACCACCTCCCCTCATGGCAGCTAGATAATTTGTGGGGGACCTTGGTTTTGACTGGGAGTAGTTCCTTCTGGACCCTACCCTCCTGGACTGGGGTGTCCTCCCACCCTTCTATCGAAGCATGGCGCAGTCCTAGTGAGTTGCCTTCTGCCTTCTGCCTCCTGCCCCAAGCCAGGCATCTGTGGTTTCTGCATGTACTGCAGGAGCCCCTGGTCCATAACCCAGTCCTGCAGTACAGTCTGCCAAGCCTCGCCTCAATCAGTCTTGCCAACTCCCTCATCCGGTCACATACCATCTGGCTGGGACACCTCCTCAACATGACCCAGTCAGACTGGTTGTCACCTGAGGCTCTGGCCACCCACTTGGGCATGTGCTCAGTCTGCTGTGCTGCCCACTTCCTAAAGGATGTGCAGGCCATTCTCCCACAGGATGCGGCAGCTGCCCTGGAGGAGCACCTCCGAGCATGGAGAGCTCTCCATGCTGGCGTTGTCCTGGGTGAACCTTTTCCACCACTGCCTACTGTCCCAGTTGTGGATGGTAACCTCTGTGGTTGGCTTGCAGGCCAATGCCCTAGGCTCTGAGTGTTGTACCTGGGCCCGTGCATGGGCAGTATTTTATTACTTTATTGGAATGTTACCCCCTTTCCCCCTTAATAAACCTTTATAAAAAGGCGCTGTGCTGAGTCAAGGGGTGACGCCTGGTCCTTGCGCTGCGAAGCCACCACCTGCTCAGGGTGCTGGGACAGGTCCAGCAAGCCGAGACCTTGGGCTTTGTCCATGCGGGCCAACCCCTGATGTCCTGAGGCCTTGCTAGGTGCCCCCGCTGGCAGAACTGTATATATGTATATATGTATATATTTCTTTTGTCCTTTGTGTTTTGTTTTCTTTTTGTCTAGAGTGTGTGGGCAGGCCCTGCAGGCCATGAGCCCAGGCCTTGTCCATGAGGCCCAGAACTTCGGGCCAACCTGTACATACTCTCTACTGGCCCCGATTTGTCACCCTCCCTGGAATAAATGCCTCTTAAAAGTCAAAAGTCTTTCTTTCTTTCTTTTTCTTGAAACCAGTTTTCATGTCCCTTTAAACTAGATTTCTTAGTAGGATCTAAAATCAGGTGATTTTAGATAACATTTTAAAACTTAGATATGCAATCAGGAAAAATACTGGTAAAACAAATGTGAAAAAACAATGCAAAAAGTTTTTTTGTGCTATTAAGTGGCCACTTCCCCTGACAGCAGCTGTTATCTCCACATACTCTGTACAAGACATTAAGATAAAGCATATGGTGCTGAGAGTTGGCAGTAGCACTTCCTCCCTTCTACAGTTTTAACTTAGCAGCTATTTGCCAAGCCAGTCTCCTTGCAGACTGTTCCCTATAACCCATTGCAGAA